GATTTGCTCGAATTCTGTTTTTTCTACCAATGCTTTATACATTTGTAAAGTCTTCCAGCTTTTCATCAGCAGTTCACTGATGAATCCCTGGCATAATGTAATGTTTAATACACTTCATAATGCTGACGACAAAGAATGGAATATATTTGAGGTCAAAAGTAATCCAAAAGTAGTCAGAATACATTACCTAATATGAGTAATACAATAAATTACTTTACAAACTATAATTTTGGTCATGTAATTTGTAATCAGACTACAATTTGTAAGTAATCGACCCAGCTGTGTGTGTATATATATATATATATGTGACCCTGGATCACAAAACCAGTCATAAGGGTCAATTTTTGGAAATTGAGATGTATACATAATCTGAAAGCTGCATAAATAAGCTTTCCATTGATGTATGGTTTGTTAGGATAGGACAATATTTGGCTGAGATACAACTATTTGAATATCTGGAATCTGAGGGTGCAAAAAATCAAAATATTGAGAAAATCACCTTTAAAGTTGTTCCAAATGAAGTTCTTAGCTATGCATATTACTAATCAAAAATTAAGTTTCGATATATTTACAGTAGGAAATTTACAAAATATCTTCATGGAACATGATCTTTACTTAATATCCTAATGATTTTTGGCATAAAAGAAAAATGGATAATTTTGACCCATACAATATATTGTTGGCTATTGCTACAAATATACCCCAGCGACTTAAGACTGCTTTTGTGCTCCAGGGTCACATATAGAGACTTGCTTACTGCATTCACTATAAACCGAGCCGGTTCACCACAAGCTGATGTCGTGAGCAAAATGAACTTGAGTTAACTGACTCATCGTCAAGGGCACAAAGCAAAGCCATACCGCACTTTCGATTTATTAGTTTGCAGTATGTTATTATGGGAAGTTTACAAATAGTTTAGGTTTATTATGAAACTATGGCGAACCGCCAGAGTCATGAAAGAAGACTGCATTAAGCACTTAGGGGTAGGGTGGGGGAAAACACGTTTTTTCCCAAAATAACCACAAGATAAAATCAAGATGAATTTTTATGGTAACTATGGACTATGTTGACAAGAGTGATGCACAAGTACGTGGGAGTACGTGTTATTTAATAAAAATATAATTATATTTTCCGAATGAGATTTTTTTTTTCCCCAAACATAGTCAGTGGGGTAAAATGCCCGCAGGGGGCAATGGGCAATTACTGTATTATTCTGTTCTGAACATCAAATCATTTGTTTTTCCATCAAATGTATTCTAACTAGTTGGTTGAATAAAAATATTTGGATTTTATTTTTAAAAATTACCTCAAGTTAGCATCAGGTAGTTTCAAAATGTTTCAAATAGGTTATTATAATTTTGTAATTCATAATTATCGATTATATTCTTTTTAATTTTAAGCCCAAACTGCATGTACTCTGATTTTGCTGTAAATGTTTAAAGCAATTTTTAAAGTTAATGTAGTTTTGTGGGTCACCATTGTGCTGTAGAGCAGAGCCTGTGCTTCAGTCAATGATGAGCCACAAACACTGATGTTCTGCTGCTTTATTTAAAGGCAGTAACTGTGGAGTTGCTGAGTCAGTGACCATCTCTTTACTAAGCGTTTTAATATATAAATGTGTACTATCACTAGTTAGTGACAGTCTACAAAGATTTGAGTAAAAGTCATGTTTTGGTTGCTTTACTATTACACTTTAAGTGTTTGCGGTTTTATGTTAAGAAATATTTCTTAGTGGACTCAAATGAAATAATTCACTGTACTAACACCATATAAACACTAGCTTTTTTAACTCGAATGGTTTGAAGCAATTGGTTTCCAAAATGAAATGGTATAATAACAGTAACATACTGTAAAAATGAAGAGTTGTAAATTAATGGTAGAAAGCTGTAAATTAACAGTACAATGCTGGCAACCACAGCTGCCAGTAGATTACCGTTATTTTACAGCACAATTTTTTACGGTGTATGTAACTTTCTCCTTTGATGTAAAGATAACCAATCTAAAGATTCATACAAAATATAATGATGCGTCCTTGACTGTGCGCCAGTGACAAAACGTAATGCTGCATGATAAACAGAATCTAATTTTCTAAGTAAATAAGTACCTGCATGCATATATAAATGATCACCATAATCAATTATTGATAAAACGATAAAAGAAACCTAGTTTTGGTCTAAGCTTTTTCAACAGCTTATCAATATGTATATTAAAAGCTAATCTTTCATCCATCCAAATACCTAGATATTTATAGGAACTAACTCTTTCTATAAGTGAACCATTCAAGGTTGTAATTGTCAGATCTTTAGACATTTAGATATTTAACACTTTTTTTTTAGTTATTCCAAACTTGTATGACTTTTTTAGAAGTTAGGCTAACAGGAGATATTAGGCATAATGTTTAACCAAACAAAGTGAATGGTGAAGGTTAACATTCTAACACTTCCCTTTGTACCCTCCTTAATTGCAACCTAAATACAATGTTGAGAAAAGTTGTAAAAATGTTTCGTGTTTGCTTTTTATGTTTTGTGGATAAATACAATGAGTGACTAAATTTGTGTGTAGTATAAATTATTAGGCCTACATATGTTAATAGGCTTATAAAATGGACAACAACCAGAGTTTAGCCCTATACAGATAAGGTGCAATGTAAAACAAGTGCTGGTAATAAGCTGAATATTCAGATTTACAGAAATATTGTAACCTGTGACATAATAGCCTACGATGAATTATAAAGAAATTTAAAAAGAGACCACTTAATTAATCTATTTCTTTTACTATACAGTTATAATATTGTTTTATATTAAAGTAATTTTACTTTCAAATATAACAGTAAAGAAAACATTTACATGTCAGCATGTGAAATACCAGTTTGGACGTGGCAAGTATGTTTCTAAAATGTTGCAAGGAGACATTGTAACATAAAAACGTTATAAATATTCATTTAGACTTAGACTTGTGTCACTGTAACAGTTACAATGAAATTCTCTATGACACAGTCCAGTTTGCAGCATATAAAAACAACAATTCCAACAAAAATTAAAACAACAAAGAACAACAAATTTTCAATGAAAAAATTATAATAACAATAGAATAAAATCAACACGCATCAAATCAAGACAAGTTGTATAGATTCTAAAGGTGCATGAGTTAATACTACAAATCATAAATAACGAATATTTAAAACGTAGCAGCATAAAAACGATGAGTTTCACAATTTGAGTTGAATTACTGAAATAAATGAACTTTTCCACGACATTCTAATTTATTGAGATGCACCTGTATATTCAGAATGCTCCAACAGTCTAATTAAAAGTATCTTGATAATCTTGAGTTATAGAGGCTACAGCTCTAGGAAAAAAAAAATACTCAGTCTGGTTGAACAAAATTGAATTGTCCTGTATAAAATCTATACAAACAGACTGAGAAATAGTTTTTTTCCCCCTAGAGCTGTAGCCTCTATAACGTAATGATATAACTTTAATAACTTTAATAATAATAAATAATTTTAACAGTAAACCTCTGTTTTGCAGCACTTTGTTTTCCAAAAAATGAAAGGGAAAAGGGTTTGTTTAATTTTCATTTGATTAAAACATGAATTGAATTAACGTTTCATACCATTGCCATTATTTCATTAGCAGAAAAAAAGTACATAACACACAAGATTAACCCAAACAAGATAAAACTAACAGAGGTAACACATTTGCATGCTTTAAGTAGTAGTAACGCTTGAGCAACAGATGCAACAAATGCAACTGAATCAACAGATATGGACATGAAGTGATTTTTCAGAAAGTGCACATTTCATTAAAGTAGCAATGACAAGCTAAAAAAATCACTAAAATCGAGTAACAGGGTTAGTCCATAAAGGTGATGAATGTATTCTTTTGGAAAAGGTAAAGGTGACATATTTGAAATATTTTCTTGTGTCTTCATTTTCAACTAGAAGTCATTGGAAGTTTGACCTCCTAAATAGTGTAACAGTGTGAGACTGATCTGTTTGAGTCGACATTTGACTCAACTGATGATATTTATATCTCTACCCAGTGACAGAAATGAGAAGGAAACCTGTTTGAAACCAGTCCTTTGCATCTCCTTCTTATAAATCCTGAGATGGTTCATTTAATTTAATTTCATATCTCGCCAACCTCCATTTGCCTAAAACAACAACAGAGAATTGTTACACATATAACACATTTAAGGTGTGTTTTTGATTCTATTAAGTGTTTCAAGAAACTGTCAAACATGAAAAAAGCAGCATCATGTTTCAACTAAGTATAAAGGAGCATAAATAGGTAAATTAAATAGGAACATAAATAGGAATATGTATTCTTATTAAAGCAGAGGCGACAAAGGTTAGAAACAAAAACAAAAAAATGAAAACAAACTACATTTTTTGCAGAACCACAAAGAAAGAACACATTGTCATTTCATGTGTAATCGGTGCCCTTTTAATCTAATCCGTGTTCCCCAGTTCAGTCCGTAGATCCATTACAACTGAACTCAAAAAACATAATTGGACTGGTGTACCTGCAGAATTTAATGTATAATGCTTTGGACTGAATTTGGATTTTACAACTCTTTGCTAAAAAAAAACAACAATAAATGTGATATTGAGATACCTGTGTTGAGCTAATCACAACCTCTTCCATGAGAGAACGGCTCAGAACCGTTCCTCACTTCACCATAATATTCAGAACGGCATATGAGATCTAGAAAGACACAAATTATATAAAAACTTGTATACTTATATATATATAACTGGACAGTTTGGGCAGTATATATATATATATACTGCCCAAACTGTCCAGCTCTAATTCATATACAGTTTAAAATGTCAAAACAAGGATATATAAAAACAAGAGATTTAATGCAAGACACTACTGGCAAAACCATTGTTTTTCATACACTGGTAAATTTTAAGATTTTGGGCTATTTTGCTTTCATAGCATGTCTTCTTTCAGACTAGTGGAAAGAAAACATCCTAAATACACATTTAAGTAGAGCTGGGACCGAAAGCGCGTGTTATGTGACCATTCATGCAAACTGCAGCATCATGCTACATACGACAATAAATCAGATTTATATTCCGCTTTTACGCAAAACTCCCTTTAAACCACCATCGAGTGTTTGTGATAACTTCCGATTGCCGTCTAACAGGGCCGGATTTACGCAATAATGTAATCTTGTTCAAATAGATTTCATAAAATTGGTATCGAAAAAAGTATCGTTCAGGAACCGGTATCGAAGTCAGGGTATCGGTATTGATATCGAAAAATTTTGAACGATACCCAGCCCTACATTTAAGTAAGTTTTCTCTGGCTGATGAAAAAAAATGTAAAATTAAACAAGAATTTTTAACTTGACTTTATCCAATATTCAGATTTATGTTCTGGAAAATTATGCAAATGAGTGCATATTAAATTAGATTGTGTCATTTGCATATTCAAAATACAACTTCAGTAAACTTGGAATACAACATTTTTTGCAATTCTTAATATAATCAATCAGCTGGGGAGGTATGATGATAACTATTACCCCGTTCACCTGTAGAGTCTTTCCTCAAAACAACAATGAATATTGTTCATCTTGAATATTTATAACTCACCATTTGACCTTTTCTTTTTGTAGATGCAAGCAATCACAGTGAGAACTAGAATTAGAACTGGTGCCCCTGCTATAACAAGCCATAGAAATTCTGTTTCACAGTTAATACATATTCCATCTGCAGAAGGAAGAACAAATAAATAAAAAATAAAAACGAAATATTACAAATGTTGATTTTTGTCAATATTATAAACTGTTGAACTGAAATGAGGCACTTTAACTGTCATCATTTGTAACCAGAAACAATTCATTTCAGCATTATCATGTTCTACTGCAACAATGCAATTATAATGTGACTACTTGTATTTACATTTACATTACATTTAAGCGTTTGAGAGAGGCGGGGCATAGAGGACCTACAATAATGTACAGTATTTGAAAAATAATGTGTTTTTTGAACATTAAAGCATGTCAACATATTCTGTTACACCAAATACACAAAATAATGATCTTTAAAAAAGCATCATATGACCCCTTTAATGTAGAAGACTCATTCTGCTCATATTCACTTAAGACTGTATTTATGGTGACATTTACCCCATTTTATTGAAGCTGGTTCAGTCAGACTGCTGTGAATGACAAAACAGTCATAAGAGCCTTCATGGTTTCTGTCGATCTCCACACTGGTTCTCAGCTGAAAGGATCCATCACCATTTGGTCTGATTCCAGATGATATTTGGTTCTGAATGTTAATTCTGTCCAATCTGATGTTCATCTCAATATCTCTGGGGTAGAAACCAGTGGTCAGACAGCTCAGAACCATCTTATTGTGATCATCAGGAGCTCTCCTCGCAAAGACACGAACATCTGGTGAATCTGGAGCAGAAAATAATAATGCAATTTAACAAATACACATTTAACAAAGAATTTGCCTGTCCCAGTGGTTTCTGTGCTCTGCTTATGTGATCCACATGACAGGAACAACATGAGGTTCAATAAATTATGACAAAAATGTAAATGAAATTTCAATGATGACATTTTCAGTAGGAATTATTTGTTTAACTGAAGGTTAACATGATACAAGAAAGAAAAAATGTAGGGTGGGGCTTGGTTTAGTGCATCAGTTGTTGAATGGATGATGTGATGTGGGTGTGACTCTCACAAGAGGACACAGGTGAATGCTAGCTTGTTTATGCATGAGCTTATGCAGAATAAATGATTAGAGAAATCCAGCATGTCACCAGAGAGAAGTCTGTAGATTCATCAGAAGATCTGGTTATGCCATTTTCATTAAACATTACAAGCTGAGACAGGAGCTAATTAAATAATCTGATTAAAACATACTCTTTTTTGTGTTGTTAAATGTGGAGATCCAGTTCATGCAGTTGTTCAGGTATTTCTTTATGAATTTGTTTCGTCCTGTTTGAAGGTCCCATTTCATTTTGGTTTCTTTGGCTTTGGGGTTTTTATCAATCCACTGCAGAGCGTCAGAATTAAAGGCAAGAAAATCCTCTCCATCAAATCCATATTCATCAAATGCTCTCAGACTCACTGTCCCATCAGGAAAATTCACCAGATCACAACCAACCATTCTCTGAAGAACATGGAGCTCTACAATCACAGAATGAAAGATAATTATACTTCTTTCATAAGTTTCATAACAAGTCTGATAATTAATAAGAGAAAAGCTTGAAACTCACCAGAACACTGTGAGACCGTGCAGTTTGACAGAGTGTTTAACTGATGTAGGTACCAGTCTCTAGAATCAGGTGGTTCATCTATAGTCAGACTCTCTCTTATCCATTTTTTATTTTCATTACTGTAGTAAGCGACCTGTTTGTCATCACAAACAGCCACAGAAGCCCAGGGCCCAAGGGAAATTTGGGCTTTGACTGTTAAAACCGAAAACATGTAGCAGAGGTGGTGCTTTTCTGATGCAAACAGAAAACAAACCACAAAAGTTTAAATCAGGAAGTGAAACAACCCAAGCTTATATGACAGGCAAAGTTACTTGCAAAAGAATGTCAGAGCTTCCTGTCATCAAGTTCTCCTGAACTAACACTCACTAATGTTGATCAATATGTTCATTCAACTAGTGTAAGATGCTTTTCAAATAGAGATTAAAACATACATTTAATACAAATAAAGGGGTGAGTTCTTTCTGGTATTATTACAGTTAGACACGACAGTTCATCAGGTCTCACACTGCAACAGCAAAATGGCAGTGCATGGCTCACAACCTGCTTGAGTGCGTGATGAAGTGATCTTCTGTTTTAACAGCGACGGCCTTCTTAACTTTAAAACAATGTTCTATTTTGTTTGGAAAATTCGCCACACAATGTTCAGAATATATTCTCATGTATTCTCCTTTGTCTTGCGGATGCCCACTGTACTCAAGAGTCCGGAAATCTGCGGGTATAGCATCACTCCACAACTTTGATGCAGAGTTAACATCCTGCAGCAGTTCTCCAACACACATAGTAATTTTGAATTCAAATAATTCTGAAGGATTTGACCTGAGCTTAAGACCAACATTATATGGATCAAACAAACCTGTAATGCCTATAATGTTTGTTAACGTGGGTGACAATGAACAATACGTTTACAGCATTGAGGCTATTAATCAGGGTTAATGTAAATTTCTACATAGGCTACTAATATGCAATCATTACACATAACCTAAAAACAAACTAAAAATGTTTATACATTTGTGGGTACTTTTCCTTGCTGCTTTCGATTAGAAGGACGCTATATCCAAAGTAATGAAATATGTGCTTACCGTGTAGCGCATCACTTAGAAAAGGGTACAACAATAAAAAACATAGCAAAAATATTCTTTGATCTAAACAGAAAATGTTTAAATTTAAAGCTTCAGACATTTTGTCATTTATAGTTTAGACGCACGCCTTTCCGGATGAATTTAACGTGGTGTAGCCTACTCTATGCTCCTGCTGGCTGCTTGATGAAAGTTCACTTTCTGTTTCACTCTGGAAAGTCATTTAGTGCAAAACATCCGCAAGATAAACTAAAAAACAGAGTCCAACTTTTTTTCCATTTCATTATTATAAGCTAGTTGTACTTACTTGTTTATATATTAGGGCTATACGTTTTATTTTTTAAATAACCACTGTGGAACTACGAGCTAAATAAAGTAGCCTAGCATACTACATGGACAAAAAGTCTCACTGACTTTCACAATTCAATATTTAAAAAAGAATTAGCACTGAAAAAAACTGAGTTTACCTAGGCTATACTTAGGACTGTAAATCCTTGAAGGATAAGTAACTTTCAACTAAACGCAGTATGTGCTGTTCTAAATTACCAGCAATAAAAAATAAAAGAGAAATAAAATGAGAATTAATTTAGCCACTGACAAACAACAGGCATACCTTCAAATGATTCATGATATCAAGCGCTCCGTCCAGCTGTTTTTGACGCAAAAACTTGTCATTCTTGCGCCGAATGTGCAAGTGGGTCGCCGTTCGGGACATGTGCGTAACGCGCTTCCTCCATAATTTGCGGGTGGGACGGGTCGTTCTTCAAAGAGCTTGTAACACTCCAAAGAGAAAGGAAAAAATTAAATCGCATCATATGACCCCTTTAATTTATGTTACTCAAAAAATTGTGTTATATTGCAGAAATCACAGTCTGGGCGCAAAGAAAATTTTTTTATCTGAATTAGATCAATGATCTCACTTGATTCAGAAGATGGCTTTCCAACATACAAACACTGCAGATCGCCAGAACACCGGACCCGTTCGGTGGTTCAAACAGAATACACGGTAGTCGTGTGGCTACTGTACATTACTCATCCAGTCCCGAACGCAACAACCGTAAAATGCGCAAGAATGAACGAAAACTGACGCTGAAGTCTACAGATCAGATGTTCCTTATCTAGCCTACACATTTCCTGCTTCTAGATACATTTTCAGCGCATCCCATCAGCGCGCAATGTATGCCTGCCATGGCAACTTTTTATGATGTTTAATAAAGTTTTTAAACAAATGTGCACAATTACATTATATAGTGCAAAAAGTGCTTATTTTCTTGCGGCTTTTATAACTGTTGCTTTCAGATGCTGAACCTGAATGTTGATATTTAATCTGCTGAAGAATTAGATCCTCATTAACTGATCATCAACATTCATCTTTAAGTGCTCTGTAAGGCACATATGTGAAAGTCTTCAGATGTATTTTCACATTAATAAACAAACCGCTTCACCTGAGAGTCTCAAATACAGAATTCATATTTATCTCTATAATCCTGATAACCTTTGGCTCACAGTTCTCAGTTATTTCATATCCATGTTTTCTTAAGCACTTTTATCAAACAGGCTTACAGTGTATTCAAGTTACAGTATACTGTACATTTGATCAATACATGTTTTCTCTGGGAATCAAACCCATCACCTTTGGATTGCCAACACCATGATCATGATCAGTGTTATATAGACTACATAGGGACACAAACTGATAAAGCATAATAAATTGATGCAGCATAAAAGTAAATATGACAAACAATACTATTAATAAACACACACAAAGACCAATAAGCTTCCAGCACCCAAGATAACACGTTTTACACAAAAACTAAAAAAAACAGACAGGATTAAAAAACATCATTTGAAAAGAAGGACCTTTAACCGGTAGACTTGCATGACTTGAAATACAATCTCAATAACAACACTTATAGTAGATCATGTATTGGACTATATAGTAACCAGAGGCTCTATGAGGTGTAAAATGCAAAATAAAATTGCAAAAAAAGTCTCAATTTTGTTAAATTTAGCAACAAACATTATCCAGTTTATTGTTTAATAATAAGTTAAATAAAGCTAATAAACTATAACATGTAAAAATCTTCGTGTAACTGTTTCGCAGAAAAGGTTGTATTTTCTTTTTAAGTATTTCAGTCATTTATTTTGTGAAAAGGTATTTAGTTCACAAATAGTGTATAATGTATTAGCTATGAATATTCATTTGGAAATTGTTTTTGAGTATTATAAAACTGGGTAATAGTTAAAGGGGTCATGTGATGCGATTTCAATTGTTCCTTTCTCTTTGGAGTGTTACAAGCTCTTGATGCATAAAGAAGATCTGTAAAGTTGCAAAGACTAAAGTCTCAAATCCAAAGAGATATTCTTTATAAAAGTTCAGAGTCAGCCACACCTACCTAACATGGCTCGTTCTAACACGCCCCCACATATCTACGTCACTATGTGGGAAGATTTGCATAACACTGCCCAAATGTTCACGCAAAGAAAGAAGGCGTAACTTTTATTCTCGCTGTAGTATTGTTGCTGCCGCCGCTGCCATGTTGAGGAGTCGCTGTGTGTTTCGTTGTGAAAGCGAAACTACTTTGTTTGGCCTTCCAAAATAGGACACAACTAGAAATCAGTGGTTCAACACTGTTCTGTACGGTGACGCATTGCTGCCACACACATATTTTTCCCCCCACTCAATTATGTCGTAATAACGAGATGTTATGTCATTTTAACGACATCTTTTCTCGTAAAAACGAGATGTTAGCCTATGTCGTTAATACTACATAATTATCTCGTTAAAACAACATATTTTCTGGTAATAACGAGATGTTATGTCTAAAAACTATATAATTATCTTGTTAAAACGGCATCTTTTTCTCATTAAAACAAAATTTTTTCTCGTAATAATGACATATTATGTCATAAAAACGATCTTTTCCGGTTATTATAGATATATGGTACATTATGTGAGCGAGTTAAGCGACTGTCCGCGCTGCAGTCTGACATAAACGAGGATCTGCACGCTGCTGAAATGATTGAAATTGGTACATTATGTGAGCGAGTTAAGCGACTGTCCGCGCTGCAGTCTGACATAAACGAGGATCTGCACGCTGCTGAAATTATTGAAATACACTGTTTTAAATGTATTTTAATGTAATGGTTTTAATTGTAGCGGCATGTTTATTAGGATTAATCTCCAATCTGTCTACAATATAGTGCTATCCAATAACTGCACTCAGACCCATGACTCGTTTAGGCTATGATCAGATCAAAACAGTCATTTTTGAATAATCGACTCTGGGCTTAATATTTCTTTATTTGAATGACTGAAGTTTGATTTAACAACAAATCGAAATAGGAACAAAAAGAAATAAAGAGATTTTCTAATAGTGACGCTGGGGGCGCTTGACCATGCTTTGGTTTTTGACGCCTTGGGAGTGAGAATGGGTTGTCATTTAAGACTGAGTCAAAATCAAGCTTTGATAAGAAACGAGTCATTCAGTAGATTCAATGCTTTACCAATGTGGCTTACATGCATACAGAGACTGGATATCAAAATATACAAATAAAATGGAACTGGCTTTATTAATTTAAAGTGTAAAATGTCATAATAATAATTCCCTCTTCCCTCTCACTCATTTGAAAAATAAAATAATAATAATAATAATAAATCAATAATTCTGTGAATCAATAATCCTTAGTAGCTCTTTAAAAAAAAAAAAAAATCCATATAGAAAAGGTGTTTTTAATATAAATCTTTAGTACTTGCACCTTGACATCTTTGTGTGTGCTTGCTTTTTTGTCATTGTAAAAAATATATATAAGTAATATATGAGCAAATAATTATGAGCTTTGAACAGTTTTCCTGAGCAATGAGATGCTATTACAGTCATGAACTGAAATGGACCCGATGAGGAGGTGATTTTTCAGAAAATGTACATATTACTCGGGTAGCAATGATAAAATAAAATAAAAATAGCTTCAGATATAAAATAACTTTTGAAAGTTATTATTTTTTCAGTGCTGCAGAAATTACACACTTCACCTTTAAGAAAACAACACAAGACTACAACAACTGTGAATATAGCTCAGTGACCAGAAATGATTGAGCGTGAAATTCTTCATCATTTGCTTGGAAAAAGCAGCTTAATGAATTCAGTTGTACAGTAATCAGTTTGTTCAGAACAGAAGCATATATACTATAAGCTATTATACACCATTTCATAATTGACCGTGTCAGTCTGCCAGAGAATAGAGAACTACATTTCATGTTACACATTTTATGTATTTTTCATCCTTTGAAATGTTTCAAGAAACTCTGAAATTTGAAGAAAAAAAAAAAGAGTCACATGTCAACTGAGCACAAAGAAAGATAATAAACAAAGTTTGATATGCAATAATATTCTGATTAAAGTGAAAAACAAAAACATACGATTTTTTCTCTTTCTCTTTTCTCTTTTCATAATTGACCGTGTCAGTCTGCCAGAGAATAGAGAACTACATTTCATGTTACACATTTTATGTATTTTTTCATCCTTTGAGATGTTTCAAGAAACTCTGAAATTTGAAGAAAAAAAAAGAGTCACATTTCAACTGAGCACAAAGAAAGATAATAAACAAAGTTTGTTATGCAATAATATTCTGATTAAAGTGAAAAACAAAAACATACCATTTTTTCTCTTGCAGAATGGAGCTGGAATTTAAGAATACTTTTTCTCTCCAAAATGCACCAAATTAGAAAAAATTAATAAATAAATAATAATTTAGTGCTATATTTAGTGCTCATGAACCTGTTCACATCCCAGTCCATCCCTACTGAGCCCTTGATCAAAACACATGACAATAATGTACTTGCAGTTTGGACTGAATTTGGATGAGATTTTTCCTACTTTCTTTGCACAAAGACAGACAGCGAACGTGATGTGAAGTCACCTGTGGTTATCATCATAATAATACTCTCCTCTCCTCAAATAATTGACTCTCTAACACTAGAACTCTCTATTCTTTTTCTATTATATCTACCTGTTTTCTTTTCATTTATTATTTAAAAAAAAACTTGCTATGTGTACTGCATTATACAACCGGGACTTGCCACAGCACTTACATACTATTGCTCTTTTGTTGGTTTGATTGCTTCTATTGTCTTCATTTCGCTTTGGATAAAAGCGTCAGCTAAGATACTAAATGTAAATGACAAATCATAACTACTCACCTTATATATCCCACTTGTAACTTCACAGACCTAGAAAAGATAAAGCATATCATAAAACTTCATATATAACATATACAGATATCATTGTTCTCATAAATGTTTATGCCAAGCTGCACTGATGTCACACTTCTCATTCATTTGTTATAATCTAACTTTGTAGTCTGTGTTCATCAAATAAAACTCGGGGGAAAAAAAGAAAATTATCAGCAAAATCTCTACTTGTTTAAATTTTTTTACTGTCATATATACTGTTAATCTGTCCATTCCTTCATACATATTAAAATGTTTTAAAAACAAGAATTTTTTAGAGGTTTAATGCAACAATGATCATGCTGAATATTTATAACTCACCATTTGATCTTCTCCTTTTTATGCAGATGCAGATGCAGCAAACAATCACAATGAGCAAAATCAGAACTGCTGTTAATACTGCTGCTGTAACAGACCGTGGAGGATCTGGCTCACAGTTAGAACATTCTCCATCTGCACAATGAAAATGAAATTAATAAATAAAATCAAATTGTATAATCAATTTTAAACACTTTAAACGTAATTGTTTGTGGCTGCAGCAACATTTATCTATTTCAGTATCATCATGTTCTTTTGTTACAAATATGTGAGTGACTGTATTTCTGGTGATATTAAAACTAGAAATGCCGCTACTAATACTCTTGCTGCAGCAGACCGTGGAGGGTCTGGATCACAGTTAGAACATTTTCCATCTGCAAAATTAAAATTAAAATAATACATAATAAATGTTTTTTTTAAATAAACATTAGAAACTACTGAAATGCGTTAAGGCAATTTAAATGAAATTGCCTGGGGCCAGAAACATTCATCTATTACAGCATTATCAAGTTATCATGTTACAAATATGTGAGTGACTGTATTTCTGGTGATATTTACCCCATTCTACTGAAACTGGTTCTGTCAGACTGCTGTGAATGACAAAACAGCTATAAGATCCTTTGTGGTTTCTGTCAATCTCCACACTGGTTCTCAGCTGAAAGGTTTTATCATCATTTGGTCTGATTCCAGATGACGTTTGGTTTTCAGTGTTAATTCTGTTCAATCTGATGTTCATCTCAATATCTCTGGGGTAGAAACCAGTGGCCAGACAGCTCAGAAGCAGCTTACTGTGATCAGGAGATTTCCTCGCAAAGACATGAACATCTGGTTGACCTGGAGCAGAAAATAATAATGCAATTATAACAAACAAGCATTAAACGTTCTGTAATTGCTTTCTGTGCTGTCAAAATTGTGTTCTTAATTTCCTTAAAACAAAATCACATTTTTTGTCCCAGAAAGAATACTGCAAAATTATGATCAATAATGTTTTTCATTACTTTACCTCATCAAAATAACATAAATTTAATTTCATTGTTTAAGGTATTATGAGATTGAAGTAGATGCATTTCAAAAAATAAGTCAAGAAAGGACTTGTACAGACAGTGGAGGTGGATTTGTTTTATTTTTTACAGTGAAAGTCATACAGGTTTGAATATTTAAACATGGCTTAAAGTGTCTTAAATGGCGATGATAATGATGATAAACAACCTCTCTACCAAGACAGAATTAGAAAGAGTAAAACAAAAACACACACAAAAGAACTAATTAAAGTATTGCAATCAGAACTTACTCTTATATGTGTTGTTAAATGTGGAGATCCACTTAGAGCAGTTTCTGAGGAAATCTCTGAGGAATGGGTTTCGTCCAGTTTGATGATCCATTTTGGTCTCTGTGACTTTATCCATCCATGGAAGAAGGTTATACTTTAAGGTAATAAGATCCATTCCATCATATGCAACCTCATCAAAGGCCAGACTCTTTACTGTTCCATTAGGAAGTTTTTCCAGCTTACAGCCACTTATTCTCTGGAGTACATGTAACTCTGCAATCACACAAAATCACACACAGACATATATATATGTGCATGTGTGTGTGTGTGTGTGTGTGTGCATTATACGACTGATAGACTGCAACGGTTAAAGTTAAAAATCATCATATGTGTTCTACTGAAGAAACAAAGTCACCTACATCTTGGATGCCCTGGGGGTAAGCAGATAAACATCAAATTTTCATTTTTGGGTGAACTATCCCTTTAACTAGTCTAGTGAAAATACGGCTTGCCGAGGCTTGTCTCCTCTCAGATAGCATGTAAAAACTATATGGAGACAATGGCATGCACAGAAGGAGGGCCACCGACCAATGCCCTAGTAGCGCCATTTCTCCCCCTCCAGAGATCTTTGCACGCCATTAAATGTAGGGCCACACCAGCCATTCAAACTGGAACGTAAAACCCACACTAGAGGCTTAGTAACTAGTAGCCTACTTAGTCTGAAACTAACTCTATAGCTATTCGGCTGCACCATTTGTTCTTAAAGCTGAACATAGCTAGCTACACTCTGAAAAAGCGGACACTGGGACGGTATTTTTTCCAAAGGTACACCTTTGTTCTTTGTTTATCCCTAAATGTGCATATTAGTACGTACTTTAAAGGTTTTTCCTGCAAATAACATTCAGAAACTGTATTTAAAATACATAATGATCAACAAATAAATACTGTTAGTTAAAAAAAAAAAACATAGCCTAAATTTCAGGATGGGGGGTTTTTATTTTATTTTTCTATACACTCTCTTAAAATGTAAATGTCAGCATTGTACTCGTCAACATTAATAATATGTCTAAATGACGTCTGTCAGGTAAAAACAAGAGCTTATTGATGCAGTTCAGACTATCTTCTATTTTATTCCAATTAGTAGCTAGCCTACATTAATAGGTAACAGTATAGATCCCAAATTTGCTACTGTCGACCAGAAAACTATGTGCTTACCTGGTTTCGCATTGCTTTGAAGAGAAATTAAAGGAAAAAACAATAATAAAATTCGCCCAAACATTCTTGACTATATTGAAAACGTTTTAAACGAGAGCGAATCAACTATTGCAGTCCTTTTATTTCATTCTCGCGCCCTAGACAGATCTGCACTAAAGTGGAAGTTTCTTCTCTTCCAGGTGTTATTATTGAGCGCATTGCTGCCCCTCACTGCTGCTGATGAAATTACACTTTCGTTTTCCAGACGTATTTTCCATCCAATTCTGAATCTTTCCAGCAGGGGGCAGTAAATAACATAAACGCTAGAATAACTGGAAACGCCTCTTCTGGAGTCTCAGCCAATCAGAATCCTTCTCATCAGACGGGCTTACATAATATAACACTAAACCTCAAATCCTCATCTTCAGAAAAAAAAACGTTCTTTGCTAAAAAGAGAAACATCTTTGAAAAAGACAAAACAGTGAAAACTGATGTTACTGTGAGAGCAGCTGGGATTGGAATAATCTGTGAGCTTCCTAACAAACACAAACTTTTATTTTGTATTTGTGTGACTTGAATCTCTCCAGCAGGAGGCAGCATATGATTTAATCAGAGTCTGAGCCTCAAATCATCCTCACAAAATCTGTGGTTTATTTACAGATTTTATTATATAGAGAAATCTTTCCTGGCGTTTTAATACCAGAAAACCAGAAAGAAATCGATGCATATTTTTGATTGATTTAGCCTGCTATGAATGTGCTCGTTGAACTCTGTGTGAAAAATCTATTAAAAATTGACATGAAACAATGTGTGCAACTAATTTTACTTCTGAATTAAGAGACTAAAACTTGATTTCATGTTGATTTAAAGCACTATATTCAGCTGCAGTGTGTAAGCGGTCCATAAAAACAACATTCACAAACAATGATTTTATGATGTTTTATAAAGTTTTTAAACAAATATACACAATGATTATATATGCAAAAAGTGCTCTTTTCTCTGCTTTTATAAGTGTTGCTTTCAGACGCTGAACCTGAATATTGATATTTCAGATCCTCGTTAACTGATCATCAACATTAATCTAAACGAATCTCCGCTCTGTAAGGCATGTGTGTAAAAGTCTTTAGATTTTCACATTAATAAACAAACAGCTTCACCTGAGAGTCTCAAAAACAGCAGAATTCATATTTCATCTCTATAATCCAGGTCATCTTTGGCTCACAGTTCTCTTTGGTTATTTTTAGTGCTTTAATCAAATGATTAATCGCGATTAATCGAATCCAAAATAAAAGTTTTTGTTTACACAGCGCTAGTTTTTTTTTTTTTTTTTTTTAATAAACACTTAAACCAGCTGGATTTGATCTGATTTATCGCTCATAATCATCTTGTGGCTTTATAATACTGTAAGTTCACAAAGGATCTCTTGGATTTTCTTGGTACGAGTTCACACGTCCCAGAATCCTTTGCGTCAGGACTCCCGTTCCTCTGTGTTTGACTGTTTCACGTCAGCGAAGCAGATTTTCCCTGAAGCTTATAATGATTGCTAACGAGCGGCTGGCGTCATACACACGCTCTGGATACGGAGTATGAGTTCATAGCTAAATAAACGTCACCTGTGCTGTACGCATGCGTGGATGTGGTGTGTTTAGCTGATCCTGTAAAGTGCAAATGTCACACGTTTGTCTTAAACAGCCTTCATCCGCTGATTGGACAGACGGGTGTCTGCGGTTCAGATCTCCTTCTCATCGTTCCCAGAATCCTGTGCGCTCTTGGTGTCGGCGCTGAGGGGCGAGATCACAGCGCTGCTGATTTCACCGAATCTCTCCACGACACACTGCGCCGTCACACGCGCCTCAGGGTCGTGATCCCAGCACTCCTCTATAGTGGAGCTCAGCAGATGAACGCCCTGCGAGAGAGAGAGAGACCAGATAATGATATCAGGAAGTTTAGAGGAAACAGTGTAAAAAAAATAATATTTTTTTTTTTCAAATTTAAATAAATAAATAATAAAAATAAGATTAAACTAAATGCATAAATACATGATTCAAATAAATAAATGAAGTATTAAATAATAAAGATTTAAAAAAATTAATTACATTAAAATAAATACATAATTAAAACAGATAATAAAAACAAAAGATGACAACAAATAATAAAAATGAGTTAAATAAATACTAAAGACAAATAAGTAAATAAAAATAAGATTAAATTAAATATATTAATGATTTAAATGAATGATTGTAATAAATAAAATTGATTTAAATAAATAATTAAAATAAATAAAAACAATGGGTTAACATAAATAACACTAATTAGATTTAAATAGTTAAATAGATTAATAAATAAATGCATCTACAAGTAAAGGATAAAACAGAGTATAAAAACATATTCAAATAAATAATAAAACGTTTGATTAAAATAAATTATGAAATAATTAAAATAAGTAATAAAAACAAAACCAATAATACAAATGTGATTAAAATAAATTAAAATAGATTCAAATAAATAATAAAATTTAGATTTAAAGAATTAAATAGATTAATATATATTACATCTACCAGCACAGCACTATAGTGAGTAGATATTTAAATATTATAGTTAAATGTTATAGTTTTTTATTTTAAATTAGATTTAATTTTTGTAGTTTTTGCTTTCATGTTGATTTTAATGAGTTTGATCTTCATTTTTTTTTTTTATATGTCTATAGTTGTAATTTGTATTTAAGTTTAAAATAAAAACAAACTTTGAAAAAAACTAGATGAAATAAAATAAATTTAGGGTTTTTATATTTCATTTCAGTTAACATTTATTTTATGTCAAGAACATTTTTTTATGATTTTAGTTTTAGTTCACTATAATAAGCCTGCTGTAAATAAAAAAGTCGAAATAAGAGCAGCCTCACAGCTCCTTAGCATTACACAAGAACTAGAAGTGTCTCGGGGTCTGTGAATATTGTCTTTGATAATGAGGTTTTAAGGCAGTAAGGTTAAGAGGTGCTGGTTTAGTGAACCGTCAGGCTCTGTGAGACTAGTTTAGGTAGTTACCGTGTGGTTAGTCCAGCTGGCCGGTATCTCGGGTCTCAGTCGGTCTCTGATGACGTCGTCCTTCATGCTCTCCACACACAGATGATCCTTCAGCTTCCCGAACGGAGGCTCGTATTCCCGCACATCTGCACACACACACACACACACACACCAGCATCAGCTCTGTGCTCAGAGGGGACTGCAGGGAATCACTGGAGAATGGCATTGTGGGAAGTGCGTCAACAGGGTTTTAACCAGCCATTCACAACAAACGACACAAATCTGGCTGCTTCCTGCCACAAATACTCTTGAACCTGAAATAAAGACCCTTAAACAACAACAACAACAACAACAGCAAAGCCATAGAGGAAGTGCACAGTGCAGGGACAGGAAGTGGGCTGTGTGACATGACGCGTGTCACGGCTGAGTTCATGACATCG